TTTGTTTTTGTGAAAGAAAGAAATCATAGTTCCTAAGGAGGTCAGTGCAAGGACAAAACATGGGCCACCATGCCTAGCACAAAAGCCTGGACTGCCTCTCCTTGGGTGTTGTGACTGATTGTTGACCCAACTCGAAAGTCAGTTGCTTTGTTTCCATTTCAGCCTTTCAGCCTTTGTCTTCTGCAGAACAGGAGTTGCAGCTTAGCTGATATCAGGGAGTTTGGGGAGTAAGTAAGAGGTTGAGGGTGTTCATCTTGTTCCCCCTGGAGATCTGGTTGTCGGCACCCTTGGGGCGCCTTCACTTTCCAGGGTATGCAGCATAGTGCTGGATACATGCTAGGTGCCCGATAAACACTTTGTATATTAGAATATAAGCAGCTAGAGGTCATCTACTAGAACCCTCTCATTTTCTAGTTGATGACACTGTGTCAGAGGGTTTGGGGCAACACATCAAAGAGTGACAGCCACATTTCCAGGCGACTCCCACCACGTCTCGTATGAGCCCCCTTTCTGAAAGGGAAACATGTTTGACCTAAACCGTAACTCCTTGGGGGAAGGTCAGTTTAGAAGACTTTTTTTTTTTTTGAGAGTATACAATGTCTCAGACACCATACAAGATTTTGGGAGAGATAACTAAATGATGGTGCCCAAGCTCAAAGCCTCTCTAATCTAGTGGGGAAGACAGATCTCTAAGCAGATATTTTCAATAAAATGTTCATGCTATAGCAGAGCTGAGATTTGGTGATATGCAAATGCATGTCAGGAAACAGAACTCATGCCCGCAAGAGGTCGAGGAAGGGGGTTTAGGAGAAATGACATAAAACTAAAAAAGAACAAAAGAGCCAATTAATACTCTCTTATTTATCTAAGCATAAGAACACGAACATTGATTAGTGAATGTTGGCTGAAATTAAAGAACGGGAGAAGCTCAACTTCCAGTCTTCAAATCCCTCTCACTTGTCATATCTGCTTGGAGTCACTTCTTGCACATGAAGCTTCTAATGGAGACTGGGGGCTGGGATCTGGGTTTTAGTTCCTTTTAGGACTTGTAGCCGGCGACCGAACCGATCAGTTAACCTGCCTTTGCCTCCGTGGGTGCAAATCACGCTGCCAGTCTCTCTCTGCAGCTGGCGAATGAGTTGCGAGATTCACGTAATGGGCACAAAAGCACTTTGGACTCTCATGGAAAAGGACTCATAGCAACTTAGAGCCTCAAAGTTCCTCCCTGTTTTGAAGGACTCATGACCTGCATTGGGCTTAGCTGCTGGTAGGAGCTTAAACACCAGGGATTGACGAGGGTTCACCTTAGACCGCCATTTCACCCGAACAACCTCCTGCATGATTTTACGTGACTTCACAGAATGAAAAGCACTTCTTTTAAAGCTAATGTAAATTTAAATGCCATGACTTTTCAAAGTGGGGCTTTAAATTGACTTCTAAAAATTCATGTATACGCACATATATAAAAGTCATATATATCTTAAAAACAGGCATGTCTATAGTAGTCTGTCTCCAAGAAGTAGCCAGAATAATTAAAACCCCTACAAGCTTATTTCGCACCGTGAGGCTTGGTCTTGGCCCCACTAACATCTCTGCCCTTAGCTTCATCAGGTAGCCAGAAAACACTGGCCATTGCGTTGCTTTCTAAAAGGTCAGGGCTCGTTGCATTACAGGAGTAAAGAGGTCAGTTTCCTATGGGTGCCATTCCGTAGGTGGGAGAGGGTTTTTAAACTAAGTGAAGTTAATGAGAGATTTTCAAAACTCAAGTGGCATATTGGAATTCTTCCAAGTATTTATGTTCCAATATTTAAGGTGTGGAAGAGCTACTGAAATCTCATCAAAAAAAAAAATACTGTACTTTGCTGTTCCTTTAGCTTTTTTAAAGAACACATTCGCTGACCTGCCTTCGCGGTGACTTGCTCTGTTCTGGATGGGCAGGTGAGCAGGCGGACCGGCTTCTCCAGGGAGATTCCAACCCCAGGCCCCTGGAAATCCTCATTTGAAGCTGAACTACTGAATGCTGGCCGAGTTCTCAAACCAAATCCCCCACCTACCGGAAAGGGGGGAGGGGATGAGGGGACCCTGCCTAATTTCAGAGATGACGTTTGCAGTCCGGTGCGCTAGCAAAGCTGAGCTGAATTTTCTGCGTTCTCTTGGCAAATCGTCATTTACTGCCAGACTCCAAACCGAAGGGAGAGGGCGTGTTCAATGGCGACCAGGAGCGCCCGGGAGCCGGCTCCTCTCTCGCATCCCGGCTCAGGCTGCACTGCCGCAGGCGTCCCAGCCCCGCCGCGGCCTGAGCTTGAGAGGATGGCTCCCCCTGCTTCCCGGGCGGCGCAGGGCGAATCGCAACCTAAGGTGGGTCACCTGCCGGGAAGGGAACTCGGTGTGAACGCCAGAGGGACGGGCGCAGGTACCGGGCACCTTGCGGGGCTGGAGGGTGGAGGAAGAGGTGGCCTCAGGGTTCGCACCTGCCCTTGCCTAGCAGCGCGAGGGAGTAGACCTAACGTCTCAGGTTTGCAGCAAAGGAAGTCACCCTACCCGCAACGGGCCCCGCCCTCCTGGCCGCGCCGGTTCCCTCCCGGGTGGACTGAAACCCCTGGCGCCGCCGCTCCAGGTGGGCGGGACCCACTCCGCCTCTACCTGTCAGCTGCAGCCGCGAGCCAGGCGGGGCGAGGCAGCCCCGACCGCCGAGCGGCGAGCCGAGCGCACCCACTGGGCCCGACTCGGGGCAGCACCTGAGCGGGGCTGGCGGCAGTGGGCGCTCGCGATCTTCCTCTGCCCAACGCGCTCTCCCTCAGGGCCCGGCCTCCTGCGTCCCCTCCTCCTGCCTCTGCTCCTCCTCCTGCTCCTCCCCTCAGCGGGACTCTGCTCGGAGTCTCCAGCTCGCAAAGTCGCCGGCGTGCGGGCATCCAGGACCGCCGCCGCTGCCAGGTCTCGGGGCGCCCGCGCCCCTTCTCTGCCGCCTGTCCTGCCGTGTCCCGAGGCTCTCTCCGCCTGCCGCGTGCTCGACGGCGCTGCCCATGGCCCAGCCCGAGAGCCGACTTCGGGCGCCGCACCGGCTGGACCGCGGCACAGCTCAGGTGAGTACGGAGCGTACCGGGCTGGGGCCGCCAGGCTGGGGAGTGACAGGGCGATCAAGCTGTCCTGACCCGGCGCCCGGCACTTAGGGGCAAGCGCAGAGGCCAAGGTGAGTCGGGCCTGGAGCAAGTGCAGTGGATGCAGGGGAACGAGGAAGGAGAGCCTCGGGATTTTCCTGTCCCCCTCACCTCCTGCCTGGACCCCCTCACGCCCGCAGCTGGATGAGTCGGGAGAAACTGTCTGTATTTTGCCGGCAGGGCAGGTATCCGGATTTCTCACTCTCAGTGGGTTGGATCTGTACTCCTAGCAGAGCCGGAGGCTCGATCTCGCCCGTCCCTGCTCCCTAGCATCGTGCGGGGATGCCGGAGCGCGGAGCGCAGCGGATCCCGGGTACCACTTGAGCTGGGAACTGGGGCGGGGGCAAGGTCCGCAAAGAAAGTCAGTCGGTCCAGGGAGTATCCAGGCCAGGGAAACCTTGGTCTAGTTTGCCTCTGCATTGGGCTAGGGAGGAGAAGAGACGGGGCATCTCCCCAGGGGCGGCGATGCTCGGGAGCAGAGAAACTGAGGCTACCTACAGGCCTGGCAGTAAGTAACCTCTTTCCCCGAATGGCAATTATACACGGTCCTGAAATTTCCTGTTACTTTTTAACACCCCCCTCCTCACTATTTTTCCTGCCTCTGTTTCTATTTCGAGCACCACGGGTGGCGGCCGCGGGTGAGGGTGAGGGGAGGTGGGGCGCCAACCCGCGCGGGGAGCCCGCAGCCCCAGCTCCGAGCGAAGGGCACCCTCGAGGAACCCGACAGCTCCAGGTGCGCTCTCCGAGCCAGACGACGCCTCGTTCGCGGCTCCCCTCCTGCCCCCCTGCCCGGGGAGCCGGTGCGCGGGTTTCCAGAGCCTGCGACGGGATGGGAAGCTGCGAGATCAGGAGCCAGGATGCAGGGCCCGGGGAGTGCTCTGCGCCGCGGTCGTGGCCGGCGCCGCACGTCTTACACCTCCTGGCCTCGCCCGGCCGGCGTCCACGCTTCCTCGCACACACAGGCCCCTCTCCCCGAAGGGCGGCGGGGAGTGCATCTCTCCTCCTCGGCCCCTACTTTGCAGGACCAGTCGCATCCTGGCTTCGCCTTGCACGAGTCTCGCTCCTCCCCCAGCATTATCCGCCGGCTATTTTTATCCAGTCCTTGTACCAAGATGCTGTAGAGGGTGCGGGGTGGGGGGGATTCTGGGGAGGCGAATCCAAATCCACTGTCCTCGCGCTGAGATCGCAGAAGCGGTCCCCTGCTAGCAGGGGGCAGCCAAGGCTTCGAAGAGGAGCTCAGTGCCCCGCTTCGCCTTTGGCAGCCAGAGCTCTGGGAACCCGGGTACCGCCGGCTCCGCTGCGCCGCCCGCCGCGCTCCCGGGGAGCGGCCCCCGGGACAAATGCCCCGCGTCCGCGAGTCGGTGCTCTGCCGGCTGCTGCGGCTGCAGCCGGTGCGCACGCAGGATTGTTTGAGTCTGACTTGTGCGTTCTCGCTTGGCAGCCAAACCTCACCTTAATTTATTGAAACGCAATTACCAACATCCACCCAAAGGTTAATTTCATGAATTACATCTTTAAAAAAGGAGGGGGGGCAGACAACCCAACTTCTGCCTCCCTGCGTTTCTAAAGCCCATCCTTTCGCTCTGGGAATTCTTGTGTTGAGTTCTGCTTTCTCAGTAACAACTGGGAGCAATTGCAATAAGCCTGACCTAGTGAAATTCCAGGAGACGGACACTCCAGCTGCAAATCCCCGCGTCGGTCGGGCTTTGTATTTCCAGGGCTTAGATGTGTCCCTCCCACAGGGTTGCAGAAATTACGTATTGAAATGGACCATTGTGTTACATAAGATTTCCCCCCGAAGCAGCGAAGGACTAAGGAAGAAGCCTTCCCAGGAGTCAGTAGGTTTCTGCGACTCTTTCACCAGAGTTTGACGAAGCTGACAACTTCGTGACTAAGCACTCCTAAGTCAGCAGTTAATTGGGACACTAGCGTCCAGTGAGGATCCCTTACTGAGGCTTCTTGAGTGTTTTTCTGGGCTGCGGATCCAGGCCAAGGCTGCCTGGCGTACAAGGCACTGCAGCTTTGAGATGGGAGAATTTTCTTTTTCTTTTTTCTTTTTTTGCTTGGAACGTTGGTGAGAAAGTGGTACCTTGAACTTGCAGATGACATCAGGAAAACGCAGGGCTCTGTGGCTCTGATGTAGGTGTGCCTAGCATGAAGCCTGAAGTCCTACTGTCTAACTCAGTGTCCTGCACAGCGTAGACAACCAGGGACCCTTTCCTTGGGCTCCGTAGCATAGTTGGACTTTGAGTTTTTGTTGTCGGAAGAAGACATTCTCACAGAAAAGTACTGAGCTCTTTGAAAGAAAAACGACGTGGAAGGCTTTTTTTTTTTTTTTAATTAAAATATGATGGTGACTAGAAAGGGGCGTAGAAGATGGGCTGGCTGGTGTAAAACTGCTTGATCAGTGCCCGCTGCTTTTCCGGACCCGGGCATCTACCGTCAGTGGCGCAAACCCGCTGTGAGTACAGAGTCCTGGTCTCCCTGCTGAGGCTGGGATTTGGAGGGAGGAGCAGTAACCTGTCCTGATGCCTCCATGGAACTGAGCCTCTACCCAGGGTCATGGCTCAGGCACCAGTTCTGGAGCGGGGAGGAGTTACAACTTTCTAGCTGCTGGGTGGGAAATGCAGGAACTTCTCAGCTGTCGTGGAAAGCCACAATTTTCCAGCTGGTATTAGAAAAGACCTGGGTAGTCCCCCATCACTTTGCCGTAAGTGTCTGTCTTTCCTCCAGTCCCACTAATGACCCAGTGCTCTTGCCCTTGGCTGCCCTTTCCGGAGTGGCGGGGTCGGGGGGGGGGGGCATGCGTGGGTGCTGGCTGAATTTGGAGTCGCCCTTGGCTAATGACTTTTCCCTGTCTCAGCCCCAGATCCTTTCTCTGCAATACAGAGATTGAAAGATTATTATTAGAAAGTGAAAGAATGCCTGTGAAGAGCGTTTTGGAAATTCTAAAACACGATGGGAAGGCACAGGATGGCTTACTGTGTTTTCCCTGAAAATTTAATTTTGCCTATTGTAATGTCAACTGTAGTTTGTATGGCCAGCGCAAATTGCACGGGCTGAACATTGAATAGAGGAGAGGCTGTCATCCGAGGCTCCAGCAGCGCCCCGTGAACACGCTGCCTGAAACCCACCTGCTCCAGGCCGGCCTCGCTGCTTCTCAGAATTGTTCGGTTCTGGGTTTTAGGGTCAGAGTACAATGTTTTCGAGGCTTTTTTTTTTTCTTTTTAGCTTCATGACTCAAAAAAGAAGGAAAGTTCCAGATGGGGGTATCCATGGGGGAAGAGTGGCACGTGACCAGTTCGGGGGCCTGACCAGGGTGTCCCTTGTCATCAGCATAAAGTACTGGCTCTCGATTGCATTTTCAGTGTTGTTCGAAATGTATCCCCAGGATATAGCTAAGTGCCTGGCACTTAATAGAGACTTGATAACTATTTCTGAAATAATGAACGAATGCTTGAACTGAATCTTCGCAGAAACCCTGTGCTGTGCACAGGCAGATGGCATCCTTTCTATTTTAAAGATCTGGAATCTGCAGATGAGAAAAGTTAATTAATGTTCTGAAGGTACAAAGGATTCCAGATTGGAGTTCGGGTCTGTCTGTTCTCACTCCACTCCCTCCTCTGGCTGCTGTGGGGTGGCCCTCTCCCTCCCACCACCGCCTAGCGTCCCCCGACCCATGGGCATGTCTGCACTTTGGACGGCGCCCAAACAGCCCTCTTACTCGGGGGGCACAGCGCTCCTCTCATAGAGACTTTTCGGTGGGAGGTGGGGCTCTGTCTCTTTGTCCATCTCTCCAGGCCCTGAGCTAGCGCTTGGTTGATGATCTCACCTGACACCTGGGATCCTGAGGGACCCACTAAAAAGGGCACAAGGGCGGTTGAGTGCTTACGTATCACCATAAGTCATGAGTCCGGGGCCGTGTGTAGCAGCACGGATGTCCCAGGATGATTTCCCATGGTGGGATCCTGGCACATTCCTTGGCACCTGGGTTCCTTCATCTTTCTCATTTTCCAAGCCTGGCCTTGCCGCTTCTCATCCATTCCTGGGGGTAACCCATGGTCTCCAAGTCAATTCCCTTTCTCTCTGCATTAGCCTGACCTGTAATCAGCTGACATGCAGCCTCTCAGATTCCTCTCCACACCCGCCTCTGGCGTGAGGCCTCCTCGACTTCCTCTACCCACAGGGAATACACTCCTAGCTTTTTCAGGCCGTTAGAATAATACTTACTGGGCCATAATTTGTCAATAGTTATGTGGAACCATGAGAGTTCTAGAAAAATGAATACATTACTCTTCCAAGGAATAGCCTGAACATAATAGAAATAGATCCCAGTGGGCATCTTTTCTTTACATGGTTTCCCCTCCAAGCTGCATGTTTTCTGGGAGCTTTCCAGTAGGGGTCGCAAACTCAACTGCATTTCAGTGGCCCGGCAATTAACAGCTTTGGAAGCGGACCTGGGGCCTGGGCCGGCACCCAGGAGGGTGCCGCAGCTCAGACCCAGCACAGGCGGTTACCAGTGGGACCCCAGGCCCGGTCTTGCCAGATCTGTTTGTTTGTTTGTTTTTAAGATAGGCGGAAAGGTCACAATTTTATATAGAATCTATTGACTTTTAAGTACCAGCAGCTACTTCACTACTTTTAAATAATGCCATGTGGTCCAAACTAAACACCTCTGTAGGTCAGCCTCATATTTGACCCAAAGGCCCCCAGTCGATGGCCTGGGCTTTGCGGGGATGGAGGAGAAATTGGTTGCAATGTGAAACTTAGTGAAATCAGTTACCTAGAATACCAAGGCAAGGAAGGATGTGCCAGAGTGGGGTATAGACAGTGTTCCGGTGAGTTAACCTTCACATTCACAGCTGGTTTGTAGTGTTCCTTTTTCCTGCCCCAGTAACGGGTTAGGACGATCAACTCTGTTTTTTTAACACATGTTTATTGAGTTGTAACCATGTATCAAGCAAGTGGTGTTCCACTCACTGGTAATACTGTAGGGAGTAAAATAGATGGAAATCCTTGCCCTGAACTTACCTTCCAGTCAGGAGACAGATACAAATGAGACTGATCAGTAAAATCTGTCCTACGTTAGACAGCGATGTGCCAAGGGTAACAAATCAGCAGGGGACCATAGGAAATGGCAGGGGTCTGGGGTGAAACCGAGGCTCTGAAAGTTTAGCCTCTGACTCAGTTCAACCAAGTCAAGCTTCATGGTCCAACATGAAAGGTTTTTGGCAGAGGAGTTTGGATGCTTGATTATATTCTGGGAGTTGCTGTGGTGGGTGAACCCCTGAGCATATTTATTGAGTGCTCACCATGTGCCAGGCACTGGATTAAGTGCTAGAATACATTAATGAACAAAACCAATCGAGGGCCAGCCCTCAAGGAAGTCACAGACAGGCATGAAAGACATTAATACACGATCCCCAATGCACAAGTCACTGAGGTGCGCAAGAGGTGTGGGCAGGGGGTTGAATTTTCATGTGCAGAGCTCGGACGCTCAGCTTCTTCTTCCTCGGGCACCTGATTTGTGCCAAGTTTAGGTCTGTGCTCCTTTGCCCACTTGAACCCTGGCCCTATCATCAGTGAAGATATTTCGAAACTTTAATTTCATCACCTGGCAAAGATGTGCTGTATTATTACGAAATTTCACTTTTGTATCTCACACACACAAAAATGAAGTATTTTAAAAATGTGTTCTCTGTGTGCAATGTACTTGTGCCCTTGAACCCCTGATACCGCCTGTCTCAAATCTGCCCCCGGCTCTGTTGTTGCGTGTTGTCGCCAGGGAAGCTGTGGACAAGGTAGGAGACAGCTCTTCTTCTTGGGGAAGCGACCGTGTAGTGTGGCAGTCGGGTAAAATAACAAGTGTTCACGTATGAGGGGTAAGTGCGTAATGATTGGGCAGACCTTTCCTTGAGAACCCATCCCCTCAATCACCCATATATTTCTCTAATTGCAACGCCTTCTCCCACAGCGAGCTTGTGTTACAGTAATGTTCATCTTCCTACCTCGGTTGATCCCCTTCACTGTAGATGCCCTCTGAGAGCAGCGTCCAGACATGGATGTTTGTTTCTGCCACCAGGTTCTGGAACACTGTGTCTGCCTCCAGTACTTAGTTGCTCCAAAAATAAACAAGAGGAAACAGTTTGGCCTGGGGGAATTCGGGAAGGCTTTGTGGAGGGAAGAAATATTTAAGGAAAGAGAGAGGCATGGAGAGAAAAGCCAAAGAAAGATGATCAAGAAGAGTCAAATCTGCCAGAGGCCCCCCGAGCCCTTCCTGAGAGCTCATTGCCCATTTCAGGGGTCTCCAGTGTGGCCTGTCCAGGTGAATGGCTGCGACATCCACACAAGCCTTCCCCGCATTGATTCTGGCTGTGCAAAAGCGCTCTGTCAGGAAAAGAATGAAACCACTTAAAGAACAATGACATGAAAAGAGTAAAAAGGATGAAAATGATAATTCCGTACTTTTAGGCAGTGCGCTAACACCGGCTGTCTCCTTTTCCTTCCGCACCCAGCCCTTCACGGGAGGTGGAAGCCAGAGCATCTTCATTTGGTGCTTAAGGAGACTGAGGTCTGGGAGTGAAGCTCCTTTTCTCAGACCCTCAGGACGAAGGCCGCAGAGCCCGGACTCAGGCCGGACACTCTCCACCTGCCGGGAGGGGAAGGCTCCAGGTGGAGGCTCCTGAAATCCCTGGAAATACGGACAGAGTGGTCCGTATTTTCTATCAGTGAAGAAATACGTTTAGATTTCAAACGTTTACCTCTGTCTCCTTGTTTTCATCAAGAACTTCCATTTCAGCACTTCCCGGGCTTCATTTGGTGTCGTGTTGAATTTCCCCTAGAATTCCCGCAGATTAGGTACACCGCGTGGTAGGTGATTTTATGTAAATGTCCTCACTCTTTCATTCAGGAGAGTAAATCAGAGTCCTGTATCAGCAGTTAAAATACAGGGGGAGAAGGTGGATTGCAGAGGCAGCTGAAATGAAAAGGCAGGCTTGCTTGGCTGTGCTCAGGAAAATAAACACTCGGCGGCACAGAGAGCAAGTGGCTGGGCACCTCCTCTGGAAAACTTGCTTGCGCTTCACTTAAATTATGTCTTACACCAGATTTTTTGCCAGTGTCCTGGGTTGCAAGGAGAGAGAAGGTGCCAATTACAGATCTCCAGGTTAGACTTTGGAGTTATTCTTTGCGGGGAAAAGCTTTGCTTTTGAAGTCACATTTGTTTGAGTTTCTCATCTCTTGCTTACTGACTGTGTCATCCTGAGAAATAGACAAATTCTCTGGCCCTCATTTTTTACTACATTCTAATGGTGATTAAAGAGAGGGTCAATATACAATGCCTAGCATCATGCTCAAAAAAACATATATTCTTCTGGTATGGAGTCCCCAGACTTACCAGATAACTATACAGGACACTCAGTTAAATCTCAATTTCAGGTAAATGACATAGAATGTTTTAGT